CATTTTGCTTTTGCAAAACTTGATAGAAAAAGACTATCAAAAGGGCAGCTTTTCTTGATTGTACTCTAAGTTTAGTAAGCCAATATTTAAGATGTTAAACGGAATTTTGGAAGCAGTAATAAAAGTTCTACTTTGGGTTATAAGCAATAACAGAAGTTGGCTGAGTGCTCCTTTGAAAGCTGGAATATTCAAATTGCTTTTGTATGTGCTCTAAGAATTACTCTGTCTCAGTGACGCAGAACAATGTGTTCAGAAGTATCCAAGCTTAAACAACTTTTATTAGAATTTTGGCTAATGTTTAACCTTTTTTGCATTTGTTCCCATTTAACAAATCTCTAATGATTCTTAACGCAATAATTTTTAGACTTTACTTTATCAGCTTCTTTTCTGCAGTAAAAATTTAAGAGGGCTGAACGAAAAGTAAATAAATTTTAACTGGAGAATTTTTTTGATTTTTTAATCTTTTCACTTTGGTTTACTTTAATACTGCACAACTTTTGCCTTCTAATTGCTAATTGCACCACAATTATGTTGTTGACAACTTTTATGTTGCGTAATAAGTTTCTGCTATTTTTTACTTTCATTTTTAACTTGTAATGATAAATCTGTTCTACCAAACGATCACTAATTTTATTGTTGTTGACAGTCTTCGTCATCTTTTAAGTAGACAAAAAAACTTTTAAATTTTTTTAAAAACGAAGAAAAACATTGAACTTTTCTTTTGTAGAAAACTTGCACTTACTTCAGTGTTGCTATTAGTTCCCAGTTTTTTACCATTACAGAATGTCTTCAACATTAGCAACAGATGACGTTCCGTTATTTAGTTGAGGTCGTTATTTTTGCTTTTTCATTATTATAGAGCAAAAAACACCTTAAACAGTTATGTTTTGCAATTTGAATAATTTGCGTGGCAACAAGTAACGGCAAAAAAACTTTTTTTCTTTCATCTGTTTCAGTGTTTCAGAATAATTGTAACGTCTTTATTATATTGCCAGATCAGAAGGCATAAACAGGTAGGAAATGAATTCAGTTTTGCAACTTATGCACAGAAAACAAAACTACCAGTAAACGGTGGCTTTCAAAGAAGTTATGAGTCAAAAATAAAAGTATAGGAATTATAAAATGACTTCAAAGATCAGATTTATCGAAAAAAACACCAATCAATGGGAATAACCCATTAGACTGCCTATTTATTACTTTTAATAAAATGGCTTCATATTGTTTGCTATAACCAACTTTTTTTGGTAAATTCTATCATTAAAGTTATATGTTTAAAGACTGCCCATATATATATGCGAGAATTTTTTGCCAATAATTGTTTTTTATGCTTTTTTTTATGCTCGGAAATGCTCTTTTTAGACTTAAACTGATACGAAAGCAAATAGTCGTTTACAGCTATTTTGCTGTCTGATATCTAACAAATCAATCCGTGCAAATAATCACCGCTAAACTCTTTTTTTTCAAATATTGTACACCAAAAGGTTAAGAAATAATCATTATATATATATATAAGCTGTTGGTCTTGATTCTTCTTGCTGTTTACTTTATGCTTTTGTCACTTTTTTGCCAATTGTTAAAAACCCATTGGCTTTGATACGAAACCTGCTGAAAGTGCATAGGCAAAAAGTCGAAGGATAATAGCGCATTGTCAGCAATAAAAATTTCTGTAGAAAAAAATTTAACTAAAATTTAAGCAGTCTTAGTGGCTCTAAATTTTAAGTTTTTTTTTGATCTTCTTTATTACTGCTTTTTCTTCCACTTCCCTCGTTTTCATTGTACACTGTAAACGTTTATTTTTGTGCTTTATGACAGTAAACTGTATAAGTCAAACTTTGGTAAGTATTTTCTTGTTTACAACTGTTTCTGATATATAAATTGAAAAATGAGTGTTATTCTGTTGCGATAACGTTGTTGGCTACAAGAAACCTTTCCGCTGAAAAATTCAACGGGTTGTAAAAGAAAGTTATTTTTCTCCGCTAAACGCGTATTATAAAAATTTTCTAGTTGTGAATATATCGTAACTGTTTTTGAAGCATAAATTTTTGAGTTTATTTTTAACAGCACTGTTGTGCAGTGCTTTAGATGAGTGCTGCTGAAACAAAGAGACAGCTTTTTTTCGGTTGCAGAATTCAAAACCTATCCAAAACTAAAATATTTTTGAATATTGCCACCACTCTTTTAAATCTGCAAAAAAGAGCGAATCTTTGATGAGTAAACTAAAAAAGTTCCGCTTGAAGAGAAAGATAATTTTATCCATGGTTCACGTGAAAAAATTTCCAAATATAGTCAATTTTTTGCCCGCGATGAGTTACTTAACTAGTGAAAAATCTTTACTGTCGTTCTAAAGTTGTACTTAAAAGTTTAAAGTTCAAAACTTTTGAAGTCAGACTGATCTGAAATAAAATTTAAACGGTTGAAAGTTTTGGATGACAAAAGATGACAACTTATCTGTACGAACTTTCTCAGTCAACAGTATAACAGGGGTTTTCACTGAAACCTATGCTATATGAAAAACCGAAATAAAGGCGCTCATAACAAGTACTGGACGAAGTCGGAGCTATACGAATGCAGAGCTATGCTTAGATGAAAGTTTGAAAATTTGGTGAACTGCCACAGTTAGTGAACATTGTGAAGATGAGGGATTGGAAAAACAATGGTTTATCATTGGAAGCTGAAATCTGAAAGACAACAAATTTTTCATAAGTATTTCAATTCACAAAACTTTTGTCTTTTCTTCAACAATCAAACTTTTCTCTCTTGTTTTCCTTCCGTTTTCTATTTGCTGTTTTGTTCTGCGTATTTTGATGAATCAGTCAGAATAAAAAATGGAAAAAAGCAAAGAGCCTCTTTTTTCTTTTTAGCATTTTGCAACTTTTTGTTGCATCAACAATTT